CCCAGCTGGCGTCTCGGCCTCTGCGGCTACAGCCTCTTGCATCAGAACTCTGCTGCCAAAACACCCGGTTCCTCAGCCTGCCCCGACCCCCAGCACACCGGTTCCAGAGACGCTCCCGCGGGCTAATCCAGTAGGAAATATGCTGGCAAGTTCTGTAATTATTTGTAGGATGGCCGGCTACTGCAGACTGTGCCCTGGCGCTGCCAAGCCAGAGTGATTCACAGGAGAAATAGGTAATTAAAGGAAAGAAACAATTTACTTGGTTTATTTTGAGCTGAACATCACACCAAATTAAATTAAAAATATTTCTCTGCGTTTCCCTGCACTCCTATTTGCTGCCTGGCTGCTCCTGACCCTTGCAGAGCCTCACGCTGTGCCAGCTCCTCATCCTCGTGCCACCCTTCACCCCCGGGTGCCCGGGAACAGACCCCTGCCCTGGGCTGAGGGTGCTCACCCCGCATTGACATGTGCCCCGCTCGGGGGGATGGCAGCGTTCCATCCCAGTTAGCACCCAGCAGTGGCTGGAGAGACTGGGGACGGGATAACGGGGATTACGAGGCAGCATTTCGTGAGGGAGCTGCAGGGCCAGGTGATGTTCTGGAGAGGAAGGTTGCTTTGGTTTTCTTCTCATCCAGTCGGTTTGCTCATCTCCTAACTCCTGACCGTCTCAGATTTTCCCAGTCTCCTGTTCTCTGCCCACTCCAGTCTGCATTCCTCCCCTATTGCCAAAACAGATTTTAATTACGTACTGGAGAGCCTCTCCGATGCATTTTCAGCTCTGCCAGGGAGCTCTGGAGCCGCTCTGCTCGCCTGCAGGTGATGCCTTCTGCTATTCCCCAGCCCTATTACTCGCTTGCGCTTCATGGTCTAAAGGGAAGCGCTGTCTGTACTGTGTTACCTTGTGACACACAGATGAATCATTTCACCCATAAAAGGTCTACACAGCAGCAGTGCCCCGAACAGCCAGCAAGAACCGCAGGCTCCTCCTGTGTTAGATGGAGCTGGCTTGGAAGCGTTTGCACTGAGCCCTGAAAGGGGAATATTTCAAAACGCTCTGCCTTCATTAATCTCCTAGCTTTTTAGAAATTTTATGAGGTAATCTACTTACAGACTTGCCTTCAACCAGAAAGCATTACAAGGCAGAAATAAATAATATTCCTTTTCCTATTCTCCTAGGCTGTTGGTTTGACCGAATTTGCTCAATGATCTTCCCTTCCTCAACGCTGTCATTATTATTATTATTATCTTGGTAAAGTATTTACGCTTCTTTGCTCCTTGCTAAAATCACGCAAATCCACTAGTAGGAACACAACATACTGAAAAATTAACACCTCAATAGAAACTCTGCTCATCCTACTGCTAGGATGTGGATCCAACCCAGCTGCCTTCAGCTGGGCTTCACGCAGAACGCTTCAAAGGCAGCCTCTCCCGTCCTCGTGCTGGGCTGGCTGCACGCAGCAGCACAGCGACTCCTTCCTGACCTGCCCAGAAGCAGAAGCTCTAATTATTTTCATTTGCATCAAGAGAAATATTTTTGGAGCTATAAACACAGCCAGTGCTTTAAAAAAAAATCCAACCACCAGGAGGGTTCCCAGGGTGATCTGGGAGGCAGCTCTCATCACTGTAGGTTGGGAGATCTCATCTGACTCACGAGCGCTGCGAGGAACCGGGGGAGCGTCTCTGACGGGGGTGTGCAATCAAGGGAAGGATTCAATCAGCCGCCGTGACACTGCCAGCACCGTCAAGAAGACTTGGCAGGCAGCACAATGCCTTCAAATATCAATTTGTTACCTCCTCTGAAAGCAGGTTAAAGCGCTAACTCAGCGCTGATCTTCACCTGGGAGCTGAGAGCTGCGGCCACGGCTGCACCCCAGGCTCGGACCCTGCTGCCAGAGAAACCTTCTGGCACGTGAACACCGGTGACTCTGACAGTCACCAGGGCTCGGGTGATGGTCTCCACCCCGCGGAGCACCCCGCAGCTTAGAGCAGAACCTCTCTAGGCAAGACTCTGTACATACCTAAGGCATCTTGCAAGTATTTCTGCCCCACCAGCTTCAGGTATTCTTCGATTGCTTTGGTGGCCAGTGTGTTCTCCCTGAAAATGAGATGCTCATTCTCACCACAGCGATCAACTTCAGACATCATCAGGTCAGTCAAGAAATCCTGGAAAGCAAAGCCCATGGTGGGTCACCACGCACTGACACACGCAGCCTCCCCTTCTCCAGGGAGGTCTCGCCTTCTTAAGACACAAGAGGGACTGGAGGTGCTGCAGACGATGCTGTGCGCACCTCACAGCCAGCCCGACCTCCCTCCTGTTCCTCCAACCTCCCAGAGACAAGAGGAGTAACAAACCTCTGGACAGTCACAACTTTTTGCAACCCAAAAAAATGATTCACTTCAGGCCTGCACCACATTTTGCCTCTCCATCACTGCTGGCTTTTGGCTGGGTCTCGTATCAGCTTCCTATTTTGTGTGTGAAACATGTTTCCTCACTGTTAAATGTGGCTGCGCTTGGTGTCTCACTGCACTGGTTGCAAAACAAGGGAATACTTGTGTGCCATGAGCTGTACCCCACAGTTATCAGCTGAGAATCAAGCCTGCAATATGCATCAAGATGCTCAAACGTCCTATTTCCTCAGCGTTCATGAAAATAAACAGCACCGCCGCAGCGCACGTTTTGGGCAATTTCATAATCCTCTCTGCTGCAGAGCAATGGAAGGGGTGAGCAGGAGCAGACCGTGTGCTGACAGCTGCCCTGTGCATCAGTGCAGGCCACTGAACTGAGAATTCCGAAAGAAAAACAGCACTTCAGGCCGAGCTCCAGCTCTGCTTCAGCAGCCGCGTTAACTGATCGCAGAGGGTCACGTAGCTCCCCGTGCATTCTGCAGAAAATCCACTACGTGGTGTAATATTTAGCGTGCTGTAGCTTGCAATAATGCAGGAGAAATGCCGTGCGGTTTTTAATGCTAATGCATATTCAGCTTCCGTTCTCTGCGCTGCTAATGGGAAAAGCAGTTCTGGGCCCCTGCCCAGCTCCCGGCCACACTGGGTGCTGAAAGGTTCAACCTCCTCCCACCCAGCACCACTCACCTGGGGGACACAGGCAAACCGTGAAAATCACACGCATTAAACCTCTTATTGCTCCCCCACGCAGGAGACAGAGCAATGCTGACATACAAATTCACGTCCGCAACCAAGGGCACCTTCTTAAAACTGCCTTCCTCTAAAAGAAAATAATCTGCTCGGTAATAACCTTTCCCTAAGAAACTCTCCTTCAGGCGTTCCAACCGTGCCAGACGTACCCGTTCCTGGCAGGGGCAGCAGGAGCAGCCCAGGGCTGCCATGCAGAGACCCAGCTCCCGTCCTTGGCACCTCCAAGGCACCAACGCCCCGATCTCTCCCACCTTCCCATAAGACTGGGACCAACATGCTGCCGTGACCTTCCCAGAAAAGCCTTCAAAAAGCCCAGAGGAGGAGCTCTGGGGGGCGAAAAAAAAAGTCACCACCATTATTTCTTTTAGCTAGAAGATCGTCTTGCACAGCTCCCACCACGTCTGCAATGCTCCGGCAGCTGCAAAGGCAAAAATCCCTCCTGGAAGCAAAGCACGTGCCTCCCCCACTATTTTCTCTCATTTTGCCCCTTTTATCAACCAAGCTAGAATGAAACTTTAAACCTCTGCTCAAATCCCGTTAGCTGCTATCTGGGTAACTCCATCACCTTTATCTTCCTGGGTCTCTCCCAGGGTACGTTTCAATTCCAAGCCACAGCTCAGGCTGACACAAGGTGCTGATTCTTAATTAGCAGCCGCTGACCTTGGCTTTGCTTGATTCTCTTTCCTGTCACTTTCCCAACATACTAATTATCTCAGGAACACCGAGTTTTACAGCTTCTCTTAGCCAAGCATTTGCTTTTTTTCCCCTTCTTGTCGGCTGGGGACTGGCTGCCATGGGATGCGGGGCCAAGCCACGACCGGTGAAAACCCAGGGGCCAAGTTTCAGCCAGCGCTGATGTGAATTTTGATGATTTTAGCTGATCTGCAGAATTCACTAGAATTTCAAATGAGGCAACACTCCTCCATGGAACTCCACACAAAGCCAGAAAAGATCCCCCTGAAACCTTCGCTGCGGTCGCAATTCCCCGTGGAGCACCCGCAGCTCGACAGGCTCAGAAAACCGATCCCTTGTCTCCGAAGTGGGAAGGAAAGCTGCTGAAATCCCAAAGAGATCCATTATGGTGCAGCACCCAAAGCTGGGCACAAAGCAGCAGGATCTGACCGGGGGATGGAGGCGAGAGCCAGGACACCCAAGGGCATCCCCCAAGCCAGGGCTTCTCGCCGTCCCCAGCCTGTCCAGCCCCCCTGGCTGCAGGAGGCATCTTGCCAGGATGTAGGAACAGGCTCAGAGATGCAACGGGGATCAAAAACCCCACAGTCAGTGTCCTCGAGCGAGTTCCTCTGCAGAAACCACTCTCAGCAGCCCAGCCAGCCACTGGGAAGGAGCCTCATCTGCAGGTCAGTTCCCATGACATCTCGCTGATTTCTGTCCCAGGGCCATCATCTGGATCTTGCCTTCCCTCTACACAAAAAAAAGGCTCTGGATCACGCGTCTGGTATCTCTGCCTTAAGTACGCCAGCAGCCAGCACTCAGAAGACACAAATGGAATGCAAATACTCGCTGAATCCCTCCGGGGGCCTCACTCACCCACATACAAGGCCCTGAATAAAATGCAATAACTAAAGCCAATAAAACTCCCTGTTTCTGAGCAGCAGAGATCAGCAGGGGGTTGTTTTTAGTTAGGGCCCCTGGCAATGGAAGAAAATAAGATGCTTTATTTCATTACATGGGAGTTGAGAGGGGAAGGAAAAGGTCTTCAGTAAAAATTAAGGGCTGTGGCAGCCTTCTTCAGACTGGCTCCTGTGTTTATTTTAAAGATATTTGCTCCAGACTGGACACAGCTGAACCTGTGCAACTTCCCTCACTGCCCATGTGCTGGTGAAGAAGAGCAATTCATAAACAAATAAATTCAGAGCACAGCAGCGCTGGTTTCCAGCACTTCAAACAAACCAAGCGTGAGCCCACAGCAGCGTGTGCTGTTCTACAGCAGCTCCTCCAGTCTTCTAGAAACGCAAGCAGAGGTTTTGCTGCCGGAGTGGCGGCTGGGTCCCCACCGCAGGCGAGTGCAGGCACAGTCCTCAGCACCAGCTCAGGGCTCAAACACGTCACCACGACGTACCTCTGGTGCTGCAGCTCCCTGCCCCACAGCCTCAGCATCCTTCTGCACGGGGTGGCTTGAACCCGGGTGAGCCCATGCCCCTCGCTCTGTCCCATCCTGATTTACCTGTAGCCTAAAAACATTCTCATTTCCCCCAGGTCTTCATCCGCTGAGCTTCAGACACTGCTCCCCCTGCCCCACCTCGGTGAACTCATCCTCCTCTCTCAAACCACAACTAAACAGCATCTTATGGGGGGCGAGGAAACGTTTCCTGAGCCCTGCCTGGTCCCTCGCACATGCGACAATTCAGGATGTCTGACTAAGCAAGGCATCTCGCGGCAGGATGCTTCATCACTGCCACGGAGGATCCCCCAAACCTTTGCCTTGGGAAGCTGGAAGGGCAAGATGGACGCAGGGGTGATGCTCTGGCAACGAGTGCGCTGCAGCCCTGGGCTGCTCTGCCCCATGTCCTGGTGGACAAACCTTGAAAGCTACTGCTGGCATCCACATCAGCACCGGCCCAGGGCTCATTGAAAAGTCAAGTTCACCAAAGGAAAAACCAACACTTGCTCTAGAAAACAATCCTTCGTTGCCCATGTCAACAGGGCCAAGGAAGTGGACAGACTGCATTGCTCAAACCCAAAAAATGGGAAGAAAAGAGCTTCTTCACAGGGCACAAAGCTGGAGCGAAGACAGCTAATTCAGTCTCAGGTCCCATCAACAGCTGCCAGCCCTGCCTGCCCCAAGCACCAGCACCCTCAGCCCCCCACGCCCCACTGGGCTGGGGGCACCGAGCACCCTGGGGTGCTTCAAACTGCCAGCGCCCAGAAAGCCCACCCCACGCTGGCGAGGGGTCTGTCCACACCGAGCATCCCAGTCCCAAAGGGGTTCCGGGTGCCAGTCCCTGTGCCCAGGGGGTGTCACCTGCCCCCTCCAGCTCCCAAGCCCTGCAGGCAGAAGGATGGAGCCAGCTGGGTGCCAGGCACGGCTGCAGCGAGGGCAGGAGGGTTTCCTGGGCAAAGGGAGACAACAAGAAAGAAAACTCTTGCGGGACATATCCTGCCCATGCCCAGGAAGGATTTTGCACCTTGTCCTCTGGCCCCAGCCTCTTGGGGACGCGTCCGCAGCCAGAGCAGGTGGGCTGTGATGGAGAGACCCACAGCCCCGCACACGTCGTTTGGGTCACAGCCCCACAGGCGGGAGCCGATGGCTCCCAACATCGTAACTGACTGATGAGCAGATTGACTTTGAAATAATAAGGTTCTCCACATCACAAGCCTGATTAATAGGATTGACTCAACCTTAAGAGGATTGAATTGATAAAGGTAATAAGATTACTGCTTCTTTCAAAGACTAGCCCAGAGTCCAGCTGGGCTTTTAGGCGAAGGTGCAAAACACCAGGGGTTGGTGGGGCTGGAGCTTACAGGTGGGCGAGTGTCAGGACATGCCTGCACGCCAGAGGATGAGAAATGCAGCACTTGATAGTGCTGAGCTGAGCAAGGAGAGTGGCAAACCAAGGACCCCAACTGCCTGTCCTTGACTCTCCACCACCACATAATTCCTCTGAGGAACTGCACTGGACAATTCTCTGCTGGGAAATGTAAACGTTCCCTCCTTTGATTGCTGGAGCTCATCCAAGGCGGGGGTTAACGCACAGGAATCTGCATCCATCACCTTGCTCACAAAACCTGAAGGATATTACGCTCACACGCAGAGGGGCTGGATCCCACACAGGAGGCTCAGAAACCACCCACCACCCCGAGAGCCCCAACACCGACCCTCTCGGCTGCCACTCACCACCCGTCTCCATCCTTTCAACCGACCCGACTGCTGTGTTCAGAGGGAGCAGGGAAAACAGTGGGGGTGCTCGTAACGCTGATTAAAAGCCTTATTAGCTCAACCGTGGCTGCTATAAAATACAAGCAGGGAGATAAACTCTTTGTAGGGGAAATGATTTGGCTGCTGCCAGCCTCGCCTACAGCTGAACGTCTGCAGCATCCTCACGGCTCCGTGCCCGCAGCCTTCGCGGCGCAGGAACGGGAGTGGGGCTCCCCAAAGGGACCGACCAAGCCCAGCACCTTTCCAGGCCCTGCCACTCATTCCCAGGGTCCCTCTCTGAGCTGAGCTGTCGTTTTTAGGAAGCCCTGCAGGATCTCTGCAGGTTCAGCACAGCTCTGACCAAACACCGAGGAGGGAACGCGGGGAGTCTCCAGCAGGCTCGAACAGGAGGAGTAAATACATCTGCTTAGCTGAAGCAAATCCTTGCAGCATAAACAAACAGGGACACATGTTTATTCTTCACCCCACTCACAACATGATAAATATTTATTTCAAGCGAGCAGCTGGTTAGTTAGAGCTTTGTCTAATGCTGGGTTTGATCTACCAACCATTTGGACAAGAGAGCCTTTTTTCAATACATTTATGGTCATGAACTGAGCTCTGAAATCTCTAAGGCGTCCCTGAAACAAATCTAAGCATGGGAAATATTCTGGAAGCATCGAAAGTCACCATCAGTCTCTCTCTGGGGAGGATGCAGCCTGCCCATCCATCACCACATCACACAGACCACATCAAGCCACGCTAATGGCAGGGGGGAGCGCTCCCCGAAACACCCAGGATGGCAACAGAAACACTTTTAATTATGACCTCGCGTCTCTGTCTACAGGTTGTGAAACACACGAAAACAGCTAGGCATCTCTCCACACCCTTACAGGCAGCACTTTATCCGCGCTCTCTCTGGGAAACTGAAGCACGTGACAAGTCAGGGACAGATGCTGAGCGGCCGCGTGTCTGTGTTCAGCCACAGAACGACATCCCTCTCCAGCCCAGCGACGCCTCCTCCAGCCCCTACTTGCCACAAAAAGAGGCAGCAAACGGCCTCTCGCAGCGCTGGGTGTCTGTCGGACTTTGTGGAGGGCTGGGGCAGCTCCCCCAGCCAGGCTGTGTGCACGCTTACCTTTATCAGACCACCTTCCTCTCCTCTCCACCCCCGTGCCTTGGCGGCTGCTCAGGGGTTTCCAGGCGTGCCCTGGTGCACAGCAAACCCCTGCGCAGCTCCGCGGGACGAAGCTGTTCCCTTTCCCAAAGAGAGATCAAAGGAAGCATGGGCTTTGACTCCAGGGACGACTGTCTGCTTTCATTCTCCATCTTTTAATCTATTGTGACAGGGCTACGAGGCCCAGGAAGAAGCAGGTATTTTAGGAGAAAACTCAGCTACAGCCCTTGTCCACCTTCTGCCTGCAGCTTCACGTGCTCAGCCTCTCCGGCATGAGGGACTCCGGGGTTTAGCAGCTCCAGAGAGCAACGTCTGGCTGGTGGGAGAAGCTCCGTGCTGTAATGGAGCAAAGTGGGGTGTCTGGGGGTCAGGATCAGGGTCTGGGGGTCAGGATCAGGGTCTGGGGGTCAGGATCACCCTCCCGCCACACAGCATTGCCCGCGCAGCACCGCGTCGCGCCTCTCCCGCGCGGGGGCTCTCCGCGAGGACACCCGTACCCAATCAGCCGTGCCTCATTAAGGGATTACACCACAGTTACAGCAAATCGCTACAGGAAAACAGGGCCTGAAACAGTGCAAGAGCAATTAGCTGCTAACGAGTCTTCATAGATAATCTACCGGACACTTGTTTCTCAGACCAACTGTAATTGCTGCTTTAGCGTCAGCTGCAGCAGCCAAGACTCACAAAACTCCCTTTATCAGCAAAATAAATTAGTGGTTGCTGATTGCCACGTCTGCGCTCTTTGGGGCAGGGGAGGGCTCTGAAGAGGTCACTGGAACGAGGACAGGGAACCCACCTCCAGCCTGGGCAAGCATCCGAGGGTCACAGAAGGACAGAGGAACCCATTTTGAACCCTATGTCCAACCCAAACATCCTACTGCGGGCTGGGGGTGTTTCACCTTGTCGAGCTGAACACGCAGGCGTTTGGTGCCGGGTGAGCCTTTGCTCACCATCCAAACCAGACGCAGCTCAGAGCCAGACCACACCTTCCTCAACACACACCAACACATAAGGAGCCACATTACCTACAGACAGAAGAGAAATGAAACCTCACTGCTGCTCTTCCCTCTCTCTGCCTGTCCAACTCCTCCGCAAAGGATGCGCCATCCCCCGGCTCCCATGCTCCAGTAACTCCTGTTGCTCTGACAGCTCCCACGCCCGGTGCTAATGCTGATGGCAGATGACAGGCAGGGAAAGCAGAAGCTGCATTTTAGGGGAAATTCTCCAAGTCTGTTTACTGTTTGCTGTGTAACCCATGTAGAGCCTCCGGGATCTCAAGCGCTGATGCGACACACATCTAGAAACACTCTTGTTCTCTCCAGAGCCTCTACAGCACCCAGGGGAAGAGGGAAAAAGCAGGAGCAGTGACAACAGCTCTCAGCCATGACCACACATGATCCACGGTGACAGAGATCGGCGTGACACTTGAAGCCTTTTGCACCAGAACCCTGTGAGCCACAGACAGGGTCTTTCATGGCAACACCATTCCAGCAAGAGCCCCGGCATCAGTGTCATCGGAGCCACAGTGAAGGGCACCCCCGGTGCGGGGCAGGGGAGAGGTACCTGTGCCCAGAAACCACGTGCTGACGGTGGCCAAAGCCTCAGCACAGGGACTGAGGACACCTACGATGCTCTCTTTCTGTTATTTCATACACTGTGAATCACAAGCCACTTCTGTCCCCACTGAGGGTAACGCAGCCAAGGGGACCAGGACCTGGGTCCTTCCCCGCGCTCCTGGGGTCTGACAGCGCTGCCTGGGATCAGGGAGGCTTTGACCGAGCTATTTTCTCTGCCTCTGTAATAGCAGGCCCACAGCCTCGCAATCTGCTCAGAGAGCTTTGCCTACCTTGAATGAGATCACGAGGCCAAGCCACGTCTCTGTCTGACAGATGGTAACTGCACTAACCCACAACCCTGCCCCGGCCGCCGGCAGCAGCTGCAGAGGACACAGGACCTTGGGATTCGCCCTGGGGTGAGGAGTTCCCATCTCCTCAGCACCGCAAAAGCTTCGGAAATCTCGTTCTTACTCAGCTCCCCCCTGCAGAGTTCAGGGAGACGTTAACAGAGAGAAATGTCGATGCTCTAACTCCCACAGTTCTGACACTGCCCACCACGGCTGGGCCGCCACACCTGGGGACCGAGGATGCGACTCCACGCTCCGTGTGCCGGGACCTCAGCGCCTGCCTGAGCTCTGCTCACACTGCCTGTACCCTCACAGATTGCAACCAGGAGTAAAACCCACTCTCAGTCACCTCCTCCAGCTCCCAGACCTGACAGGGAACACCCAGCCGTGACGGACACTCACACAAAGTGGCCACAAAAACTGAACTTCCCCCACTCACCAGCTGGCCAGCATCAACCCTCCAAGGAGGGCTGCCCTGGGAGCACCCCAGAACCCCTGGGCTTTCCTGCGCTGCTTCCCCGCTTCACAACTCCCTTCCAAAAGCATCTGGACAGACCCTGAAAAGCGAGAGCTGATCCCGAGACACGCGTGCCCTCAGGCAGACTTTGCTCAGCAATTCCCAAGACGCCGCTCGCTCCCGTTCAGCTCCCGCTGCGCCGGGTGCTCCGCGCAGCAGCTCGGGGAGGGAGCGGAGCCGGGAACGTGCAGGGTTCCCACAGGAATACCCAGCACACGCAGCTCAAGCCAGCACTGCTTGCATTTCATCTCTGAAAACCACCTTCCCGCTTACCTCCCCTTGCGCCCGTTCACGAGCCGAGTGCCTTGCCCCCGAGCCTCCAGGAGGAGAGAAAAAGGTCTCAGTTGGTGTGCAGTCCCACCGACCTCTCTGCTAATTAAGCAATTTGCACTGCACATGCTACCAACCCGTCTGTCATTAGAATCAAAACTAGAGTGGATTAATGACGCGACGCCCAGCTGAAGCAGCAATTTCCAAACCCCACCACAGGAACCTGCTCCTGTCGGTCCCCGGTGGGAGGGGACGGACGACAAAGGGTCTCACCTTGGCCTTGCCCGTACTCTGCAGGATGTGCACCAGCGCAGACGCCATCTCCTCCTTGTTCTTCACGCTCAGCGAGGGCTCGAGCACCGAGCACAGCACCATGTAATTGTTAGTGATGTACTCGGCAAACTCTTTGTACATCTCCATGGGAAGGATGCTCATGCTCTGGTAGCGCGACTTGATGCGGATCATGGGCCCCGGGGACTTGCCCTTCCCCGGGTTGGGGCTGACCACCGGGTACCATTTCTCTACAAATTGCCGGCCCGTGACAGAGCTGACAGGGATGTTCACTTGTCCAATGAAATTGGTCTTGTCCTTCTTTTTCTTCTTGTCAGTCTCTTTGTATAAGTGCACCGTGATGTTTTTGAGCGATGGGAGGTTATTAAATTCAAAGTGCTCCCCCCAAAATACATTATCAGTTTTCAATTTACAGGTAGTTCGTGCATAAAGAACATCGTCCAGGCATAATTCACACAAGTACTTTTTCTTAGCTGGCAGGTCCTTGGCTTCAATAATCCATAACTTTAACATATTCTCTACCCTTCTGCTGTTGTCCTGGAAAAAAGATGCAAAGAAAAAAAGGTCAACAAAAAATCCCACAAAGCCAAGCACAACAAAACTGGAGATATGAGTTAATTATTTCGGATGTGCTAAATGAGCAGAGGCTTAATTACATTTTATTTTAAGGAAATACTGGCTCTCAGGAATTTGCATAATAACACTACTTATGATAATTTTCCAAAATATCACCGTGCTCTCCATGTCTGTTGGTGCCAATTAATATATGGAACAAGAAAGATAAAACCCCTCCAAATCATAAATGTACCTTTTTCCATTCGCTGCCAAGAGGGCCTCAGAAGAAACTGAGAGAATCTCACCAACCACTAATGGCTTTTGCAGAGGAGAAGCTATGTTACAGGTATCTCACAACCACCTCCCCTTTCCGTACAGCTGCTTTACAGCAGTGCTGGAATATATTTTCTTTACTGTAACAGAGCAACAACAAAAGGGACCGGAATGTGGACCCAGGGATCACCTCATCCACGGCTGGAACACGACTACCTCTGGCAGGGAAAGCAGCATTTACAAAACCTCGTGACACTTTAGGGCAGAAGTCCAGAGCACCCAACTAAAACATGGAGAGGAAGCGAGTCCCATGGGAGAGTCATTAGAATCCAGGCACAGAAATTTGGCTTGGGTATCTTTGAAATAACGACAGAGAAAAGGATGCTGGGGATCTTTAAGAGCTCCCCAGTGACGCTGACCTCATCCTGGAAGAACGTCAGGGGCATTTGTTGCAGGAGTGACTCGAAAGATAAAGCACCCGCAGCTGAAAGCAGGAACCTGTTTTGTTTGGAAAGTCCTCACTGAAACAGCAGCCCCGGCTGCCCCTGCTCAGCCCAGGAGCCTGGGTAGGAACGTTCCTGCTGGAAGCCCACAATGGGGTACTGTAGGTTCAGGAAGCGCACACAGGAACTACACAAGAACACGGAATTCTTGATAGAAATATCAAGTCAGATACTGAGAGTTTATTGTCTACGAACTCCAGTGAAGATGGAAAGCTTCATGGCGTGTTTTGAGAGGAGGGCACACTTCCAAACAAATTTCCACTGCATCTCAAAGCCGGAGTGACGTACCCAGCCCCAACTCCCATTCCCAGGACCTTTTCTCATGGCAAGTGTGACCAGGCAAACCTTACACAGCTCTTTCAGATCGTTACTACCAGGCTGCTGCACTCGGAAAGCACCGGAGTCGCTGAATTCCACACGCAGGAACACGCTGCTCGAGGCAAAGGCCACCTCTCCCCTCGGCTGCTCCCGTTCTGAAAGACATCTTTTGTGCCGGCACTTGGCGCTGCGCTGGGAACAATCAACTCCGACACAGAGGGCTCCTTTAGCCGGGACCTAACTTCTACCCACAATTACGTGGCTCTGGTGCCAAGGATGAATCCACAGGAGCCCATCATTAGTGTCTTCTCTGATCATCAGAAAACAAGACTTGTTGATTGAACTCATCAGTTGTGAAATCCTGCAGCTGATTAGTCCTGATCAATCTTGGTTAGCTAACTCCAGTGCAGAGAGGGAGAAGCAGCTGCAGATTTTATTTTAGGACCTACTCAGTCTTAGGGGGCCCTAAAACCACATATTGGGTGTCCGTGTGTTTGAGTGAGGAGAAGGATTTGTTTCTGCAGGTCCCAGAGGGGACAGATGACTTTGCAACCTCGACTGACTGGAGAAGGGAAAGCTAAGTTCCGCTCTCACCCCAGAGAACGTATCTGCACCTGAGTTTCTCCATCACTTGCAGACTCTGCAAGCACTGCCAGAGTCAGAAGTGTGATACCTGAACTCCTCATTTTAACTCTGCTGGCAGCTACCTGTCCCAGTGCTTTTTGGGAGGTGGGATGTCCTAGGTAAGGGGCACATAACATCAGTGACAGAGCAAGACTGAGGATTCTTCAGGTCTGACGAACTCTTAGCAACAGCTGAAGCAGCACGCGATGAGAAAGAGGGGACGAAATAATTGGCACTTGCCTGTAAATATAATTGTGGAAGAAAGCAATATGGAAAAAGGCTGACCCACAGTTACACTTACTCAGTGAAATGACAATACGTCCCCTGCTGCTACTATGCACTGGGCTATAAAATGTAATAACAGGGAACTGAACTATAACAGAGGCAATTCCTCAAAGCCACTACCTTATTTGGGTGCACGGCACGCCGCAGGTTTTCCATCCATTTATCTCGCTCTGCTGCAGAACGACACGAGAAGCACTTACTTCCTGATGAAGTCGTCACCTACAGGGAAAGGAACAGGATTATGTCTTGGCCAGTACACTGCAGAGTGAGATTTGGGGGGAGAAGGGGAGTTAGGAAAGATGCTAGTGGATTATTATTATTTTTTTTTTTTTAAGTAAACAGCTTTACCCAAGCATGAAGCAACAGCCCCTAAGGCTAGCGGAAAAACAGGGCGACGTTGCATGTCACAGAAATAATCATGGAAGCAAATTCCAATTACTTCTCCTCTTCCACACCAGAAAACACTAGATAATAGGCCCCTGTGCATGCGACGCTTTAAACCACCAAGTTCTACAACTGAGAGAGTGCAAATCCTTAGATGAACTAAGGATAAATTGCAACTGCTTGGCATTCCTCCAGGTTCAGCCCAAAGCTCGTGACAGTAACAACCCACTCCTTGTCTCCAGCAGAACGTCAGGCCTGGAAGGGCTGGTGTCCAACCTTGCCCCTTCGTGTCCTGTTGCTTCTGAAGACCGTGGTGTGAAGGCCATGGGGACAAAGACATCCAGCCCACTCCTGGCAGCAGTGAGGGGAATGTCCTGAAGCGACCACAGGAACCACTGGAGCAACCACAGCTTCGCTTCTGCCAGTCTCAAGCTGCAGAATTATTTCTGAGTACTTTATCATCGCGCAGTGTTTGTGTTTACACGCTGCTCACTGAGTTATCTGCTTCTGGGAGACACAATCTCCGGTAATTTCATGTATCTCCCAGCAGCCTAACCTGTTCTTACAGCCGAGCTGGCACTCGCTAACATTTGTCATTAGCTAACCTCAAGGATGAGCTGAACGCAGCCCTTCCTTTGAACACAGACGTCTTCTCACCAGGACAAAATGAGAAGAGGCTTATCCCGCCTTTACACGGGAAATGCAAGAAACCTTCCAACCCTTCGTAGCCCAGAAGCTCTCTCCTTCAGACAGACACTCTTCCCTATCCTTACACACTTTTACCCTCTGCCCTGTAAATCTGTACATTCTTCCGAGCACGAGTTATCTTCTGTTTCCAAGAAAAGAAGACTCCATGTGAGTAGGCACAGCAGTACGATCTTTTCAGCACCCTTTCACACTTCAGTGGACTTCCAGCTTCTTCAACATTTCCCACTGCAAACCTGGCCTGCTTCACCTCCTGTTGGCTGCTGCAGATGCTCAGGAGAGCCTCCGTCCCTGAACCTTCACAGAGGGACTTCTGGTGGCACAAAAGATGCAACGCTTGCAAGACTGTGCCTGCGGTGCGTGATCCCTGCACCTCGCTCGGCCCCAGGGTTCCGCAGTTCTGCATCTTGATCCTTCACTCAGTACAAGCTCCTGCAACAGCATTCGAGGCGAGCACAGCCACACACCTGACTGGAAAGGGCACCTGAAGAGAAGCAACACATGGCTGTGTCCCTGCTGCACCATCTTAATGCTGGATTACAAATACAAAGATCCTGACGTGAATTTCCAAGGCTTTGAAACGGTTCTTCAGGCAGGAACCTAACAATGCAGAACTTGAGCCCTGTCTTATTTGGCCCACCTAATTCAGCTGCAAAGCTCATAATCATCCACGTTCAAGTCCAGAACACTGAAGTCCTGGCACTCGTGGGACAGCCACACTGCCCTGCGGGTGTTACGGCCACAGCGCACCCCACAGTGGGAAAAACCCTCCCACGGACCTGCTGACAAAATCCAGCCCCCACCGACTGCTGAAAAGTCAGCTAATAAAGGTGGAAGAGGTCAAATTCACCTTTCAATAAACTATACCATTAGTCCACAGCCTCCAAGGCCATTTCTCACCCAGGTTTTCGTTTAGCTCTTTTGTTTTGATGGGAGTCTGGTGTACCAGTGCTCTCAGATCTAGAGAATTCGACAGGAAACTTCTAAAAGAGAATGATGACTCCTTCGTTGCTCTTGAAAGACGTTCTCTTAAGGACAAGTTCTCCTTGGTGACATTCATGGATCCCACAGCTGCCATGGATTCATATCCAAGTAAATAAGCACATGTAAGCTACAGTAAATGTAGCTGTCCTTCTATTGAACCTCTTATATAAGTGCCAGTTCTTTACCAGCTCTCTGTTAGGTTGGTTATCAAATATATTTTCGTGCCATGCTTAAATCAACATAAATTCATTGAGTTATCATGGTAAAATTTATGATTCGATTCCAAAACAATTACTGATTAACTAATCACTAAAAACCTAAAAACCCTGCAACTGTCATACTTGGCAGAAGGGGAAAATCCTCGTGTGTCAGATATGAAGCCCCCTTGATCTGGTGGGAGTTGAAGGTCATATCTACCGTGTGTGACCAAAATGTAATTTTTGCCAGATCTGCAAGAACATCCCAGCTTTGAGCTCTGACTTAAACATCACACAGCATTAATGATCTTCAGGAGATATTAATTATCCTGATAAAGAGAGTGTTCTGGTCTCATCAATATTTTGGATATACTAGAATACTATTAATGTACAGGATAAACTCAATTAATAAAACCCATTAATTTCTAAAACGTTACTTATTCACATTCATTATCCACAGTCCTCGGATGGGTGATCTCTTAAGTCAGATGGAATCTCGTCATTTGAAGAACGTCTTGGGTACGGCACGGCTTCCGCAAAGGGTGCTTGAAGGAATCTCGCTGGAGTCACAACGTAAGATGATAATCGAGTTACTGAGGCTGCTCCACTCAAAGCATTCAAAAGATTTCACAAGGAAAATCAAGGCTGGAGGTGGTAAATCCCAACTCCCAAGCACAGAAGGGCAAAGCAGCGCTGCAGGGCCAGCCGCCGCACCAGGACGGCTGCTCGGGGCCGCGCGAGCATCGGCCCGCGATTGCACAGCTGGACTAAATTTAGGGGAGCTAAACTTAGCTCAGCTAAATTCTCCCTTGCTCAGGCAAGGCCAGGATGAGGTGACACGGTTTCAGTTGTGCTGGAGCAACTACAGCTTTCCTTGCCCTGCTCCGTCCCGCAACAGCCCAGGAGAAGACTTTGGGCTGCCGAGACAGGACCGGAGCCCTTCAGGCCTCGCTGCCCTGCCCAGCCC